ATATGGAGGTTGTCAACATTCCATTTGTTCGGTCAGCTAGTCGACCAGGGATCTGGTGGCCCAGCCCAAAATCGACTGTCAGGCTTGGATTCAGCCCCCTGCACTCTGGGCAAAGTGGTGCAGCCCTGTGTGGTCCGCTGCTCCCAACATCCCTCCACACATCTAAACAAGTGCCATGGGGACAGCCCAACTGCAGCTCAAAAACTCACGCCCTAACCGGTTTGGCTCAGTGGATAGAGCGTCGGCCTGCAGACTGAAAGGTCCCAGGTTCGATTCCGGTCAAGGGCATGTACCTTGGTTGAGGGCACATCCCCAGTAGGGGGTGTGCAGGAGGCAGCTGATCAATGTTTCTAACTCTCCCTTCCTCTCTGTAAAAATCAATAAAATGTATTTAAAAAACAACAAAAGAAAACAAAAAACCCTCAGAGCAACAGGAAGTGGAAAGCAGCTCCTGGCCCACGTGTTCCCTTTCTCCCTGCCCCAGAAAATGTAACATGGGTGCCAAAGTGCCTCTCTCTTTTCTTTCTTTCTCTGAGCTGCTGGCACCCCACCTCATCTCCCTCAAACTTGACCTACAGATACATCAACAGTGGTATTTTGGGCATTGTCAAAACCAGGTGTCAGGAGAAGTTAGCAGTAGATATCTTTGCTCCCCAAACACAATATGAAGGTCCAAGACCTCTCACTCTCATGGTTTAAGCACCAAGTAAGTGACCTGAGTCTGCAGCCTGAACCATGGGACACCCTGGGCCCTAGTGAGGGGGCTCAGCAGATGGGGAGTGTGGGTGTTGGAGCCCACTGCTGGGATCTGCCTCCTACTGTTTGTGGCACCTGGGACAGAAACGCTTTCACCTCCAGGCCTCAGTTTCTTTGACCATGAAATGGGGATGATGGTAATAGTAGCACCTCCCTCGCAGGACTGTGATAGAATGAAATAGGCGAATGTGTGCAACATCTGTACAATCCCCATCTCAGGGGAGGCCCCTCCTCTCTCTAGAAGAATGACATAGGCTGGGGGGCAAGTGTTCATTTCATCCAGTCAAGAAGACAGAACAAGAGGCCCTTTCTGGGTATTGAAGACTAACTTTCCATCCATACATGTGTCTAAGAGTTAAGAAGCTATCTCATTTCCAAGGCTCTTCTGAGTAAGAAGTGCAACAGTCCCGTGACCTGGAGTCACTGTGCAGCACAGACATCCCAGGGCTGGTCTCGGCCCCTTCAGGAGAAGCCCACACCCGTGCTGACCGGCTGGGTCAGGCGGCACTGGTGCCTCCCTCTCTTGAACACAAGAACAAAATGAAACCCTGCCGTCTTTCTGTTGCTGCACAACTACTCTGGTTTTCAGGGTTTACTGTTTCCTTCCACCAGTAAGGTAATGGGATAGAAGTGCCTCACCTCCATCCCAAGGGTGGAGAACAGCCTTCCAGGCTGCCTCGTTAGGGGGCCACTGTGCCTGCCTGCACGGAGCCCCAATGACGACGTGGGAAGAGCAGTGCAAAAAGCGGCGCTCTCCCTTTAAACAAGAGACGTGGGCGTCCATGGGAGAAGCGACAATCGCACCACAGGGAAATCAGGGGTGGCTTCACGGAGGGGTGGCATGGAATCTGAGCTTCGAAGGGAGTAGCTTATTAATTGTATTAACAGTAATGGTAATAAAGAGGGCTTTCCGCCCAGCAGGTGTGGCACAGTGGGTTGAGTGTCATCCCATGAACCAGGAGGTCATGGTTCTATTCCCGGTCAAGGCACATGCCCCGGTTTTGGGCTCCATCCCCAGTAGGGGGCATGCAGGAGGCAGCCTATCAACGATTCTCTCTCATCATTAATGTTTCTATCTCTCTCTCCCTCTCCCTTTCTCTCTGAAATCAATACAAACTTTTTTTTTTTTTAAAGAGGGCTCTTGCCCTAACCGGGTTGGCTCAGTGGATAGAGCGTCGGCCTGCGGACTGAAGGGATATATATTTTTTTTTAAAGAGGGCTCTTTCCATGTGCTGGGCCTGGGCCATACTGGCAATTCAGAAGGGATCCCCAGTCCTCAGGGACTTTGCAGACTGGCAAAGAGCACAGATAGGTAAGCAGCAGGACGAGCAGAGTGATGTGCACTGGGATGGAGGTTGGCAGGGAGAGGAGCTGCCCCAGCAGGGGAGGGAGGAAGTGGTGCTGGCAGGCTCCCCAGGAAAGCATCACCTGAACAGTCGGCTGAGTCCTGATGGGTTGCAGAAATTGCCCAAGGAAGATGAGGGAAAGACAATCGAGACAGAGACAGCTCCGTGTGCAAAGACATAAGAGAAAGAGAGCAGGGGCAACAGATAGGAGCTCCGAATTTAGTGGGTGAAGTGCAGGTGGGGTAGTGGGCAGGGAGTGGATGGGGCTGAGAGGCGAGCAGGGGCCATTGGGAGGGCTTTCCTCGTCACCCTGGACCTTGGTGTGGCCTCTGTTAGCACAGGAACCACTGAGGTTGAAGCTGGTCAAGGGAGCTAAGACTCAAGCCCCTGGAGTGGAGGAAGAGCCAAAGCGGAGAGGAGTCCATGTGAGTCTTGAGTGCCTATGCAGCTGGGCCTTGGCCCTGGCCTTTGGCTGTGCCACGTGGGCAGTGTGAGCTGTGAGCTGGCACCTATAGGCCTGCCTGCGGCTCCAGCTGCCCTTCCAGCGCAGAGCTGTGAATCCGGGCTCCAGATGGGCAATTCTGTAAACCCTGGAAACAGCCAGAGCGCGTCCTGGTGAGCCTACGAGGCCCATCTTTTCCACAGCCCCATCCTCCCAGGGGTAAGCCACTGTGGCGGGGGCCGGAGCTTCATTCATGTCCACTGTGCCCTCGGCATCAGACAGGGGGCCCGGTGTTCAGTGGGGGTTTATAATCACCAAGGAAGACACCGCCTGACTTGTTACTCAGAAAGCAGAGTGGTCTCAGCACTTCCCCACACCCAGTACTTGTGCGGTAACAATGAACACTCAACCCCTCTGGCTTCATTTAAAACATGAGGGCCATTTTAGAACAAAACCGAATCACTACCGCAGACATACAGGAAGTCAAAAATGACTCTGCACGAAGATGTCAACAGTTTTTCTCCAGACGGGACGTGCGACCTCTGGCACCCGGCCTCCTGGGTTTGAGTCCCATTCTGAAATTCACTGGCTGTGTGACCTTGGGAAATCACTAAACACACTGAGCCCCTGCTTCTTCATATGTAATAAATGGGAAATAACAGGGCCTTCCTCGCAGGGTCACTATGAATATTAAACGAGGCTAATAACATATGCTCGGTACATGCTAGAATTGTTTTTGCATTGTTATTTCTATTAGTCTTTATACATAGTTTTGCTAGCTCAAGAGGATTGTGTATTCAGGGAATGCAGCCTAGGTCCTAGGCCAGGGGTGGACAAACTTTTTGACTCGAGGGCCACAATGGGTTCTTAAACTGGACCGGAGGGCCGGAACAAAAGCATGGATGGAGTGTTTGTGTGAACTAATATAAATTCAAAGTAAACATCATTACATAAAAGGGTACGATCTTTTTTTTTTTAGTTTTATTCATTTCAAACGGGCCGGATCCGGCCCGCGGGCCGTAGTTTGCCCACGGCTGTCCTAGGCCCTAGGAGAAGGAAGAGAAGGAGGAAACGGTGTACTGATGTCTAATGAGATGCCACGGAGTCTTTTCATGTTGAAATAAAGGCACCTTTTGTTTCCAGAAGGGTCAAAATGTTTGCCTGACCATCTTGGACTGCAGACAAAAGCAAAATCGATATCCCGGATGATTGTCTCTATGGCCAACTCCAGATGAATAAAGCTATCAGGAGGGAACTTTGCATCAGACAGCACAGCTGGGTGCGCCCGCCCCTGGCACTTCCTCAGCTGGGCCCCGAGCAGTTCTGACGGGGTTGTCGGCATTAACACAACCCACACGGGAGCCTTCGCGAGTCCCTCAGGTGGCACGAGAGAAACACACCCGCTCTCCAGCATCCACGCCTGGGATGAGCACTTAGAGGCAAATGCCGATCGTGCCCAAGTGTTTAATGAACATTTGTCATTCGGCAAGCTAAACCAAGTCAGCGCGGGGCTGCACCAATCAGCAACCTTTTCTAGGCTTCAGTGTTTTCATATGTAGCACAAGAGGACTAGACGAGGTCGACATTGATTAGAACTGTCTATTAATGTATTTTCTGACTCGGAAACTTTCTGATGTTTAATTGGTGCCTTCCAAGGATGTAAGGCACCAAGGAAAAACCAGAGTGAACCACCCCATTTCCATAAAGCTAAACGAAAGCACTTCCCAGCCCACAGGTGCGAGCGTACGCGGGGGAGTCAAACCAGGAGCGAGCTTTGCAGCTTGGAGGAGCTTTTGAGCCTTGGACCAGAAGAAGGTCAGGACTTGGAGAGCACGTGGGAAGGCCCAGCACAGGCCCAGGCACGCACTCCTCACTCCACACCTGGGTGTGGCCAGCAGCGGAGCCCCCAGCAGACCCTTGGGCTCTTGTCTGCAGGGAAGTGTGACCTGCAGCAGGTGAGGAAGGGCCAGCGTCACCCCTATATCTCAACAGCCTTTCAAACTCACTGGATTTATTTATAAAAAATGTTTCCCTGGAGGAAAGAAATGAACACCTTCCGTAACAAGGAAAATAACAATAGTCATAATAATGAGAAAAGCAAAATAAGCACGTGTAAGTGCATTTTTTTCCTTAGAGATTTATTTTTGTTTGATGGATCTGACACCGGTCAGGGAGAGAGGAGAATGTTGGGGGCCCCGCAGGGAGATGCGCACCCCGAGGAAGGGCTGCTGCCTCCTGCGTGGGCGAGGCTGGTGTTGGGGTTGGTGGGTTGTTTAAATGTGTTGCTGGAAGTTTTCCTTTTGTTCACTTTTATAAATCTCTTCCCGGGCTTGCGAGCTTCCCCTCCCTCCCCCCCGGCCCCCCAATTTCATTTTTAAAAAGCGAGCTCGCTCGCCAGGTGTGTCCCCCAAGCTCTCACAGCTCTAATAAATAAGGAGCACCTGTAAAACAGTAGCTTGACGTGTGAAGTGACTCTGTACAAAGGAGAATATAGAAATACAGTATGTACACCGCACCCACGGGCCCTGGTGCCTCCAGGCCTGCGTGACCCCGGCTCGGCCTCGCCACCCACCCGCCCGGCACCCCTCCTGCGGCCGGCTCAGCCGCCTCGTAGGCAGGGGCACCTGGGCCCCTCCAGAGGGAACAATTGCTTTATTTGAGTTAGTAAACAGATACACTGAATCACAAGGTGATTTGATTTTTTTTTCTTTTTCTTTTTTTTTTTTTTAGTTTTCTTTTTTTGGGATTTTTTTTCTCTTTTTTTTTTTTTCCTGAACTCATCAGAATGGGATACTCCACGACTGTCTCACCGACTCAGTGCCAGTACACATGCTCTAGAGGACTTCTGACTCGCAGCTACAACGGTACAAGTGCACACAAGAAAACCTACCCTGTTATCCTCCACCCACCGACTGAGGATCCAATTGCACATTTCTCTTAACCATGACAGGAGAAAGCAAACAGTGAAACAGAACCATGGGCGATCTTTCTCACTTTCCCTCTTGTTTTCATTGGTTTGTCCATACCATTCCAATTATCATGAAAGGGCTCTGCGTATAGAGAGATTGCTTCACTGGCTTCCTGGATCACCGAAAACCATCAGGGTTGAAATTTCATCCAGGTCTTTCGTGACGCCCAGCAAATATTCCCCCCTCGGATTATTTTACACCTGGAGGGCATTTTGGTCTTCAGTTCAACACTCTTGCTCTGTTCCCAAATGGGGCGCTATTTAGGGGAATTTAAAGAGAAAGCTGAGAAGAATAAACATTTACCGAGTTCTCTTGGCATTCGGTCTCTGAAAAACCACAGTATAAACTATTCATGCTGCTTCTTACATCTGTCAAATCGAAAATTAAAAGCCATAAAAGTGTAACACTGAAAATATGGCATTAGAAAGGATAAAGGTGGCCTTTGTAAAAATAACAAGAAAAGTGTATCAGCCAATAAAATATTCTAGCTCTTCATTTAAAAGTGCATCCTGGGCAGGACAGAGATGAGTCTGAAGTGCCGGGACTCCAGGGCGATCCCTCTCCGCCATCGAAACGGGAACAGCGTAGGTCCGAAACCGTACAATGCAAATCACAATTCTTCGTGTAGCAGCAAAACCACAGCAGTTTTTTAAAAAGTATAAAAAAAGATGTTTTCAAATCCGTATCATCTTCCAGCCCCACCCTCTGCGCCTTGAGGATGGAGCCGGGAGCCTACCTACATTGGTCCTTGTGGCTTGTTGGCGTTTTGTTGTTTTAAAACCGAGGGCGAAATCCCTAAGTTCCTCTGGGGAGAAGCAGAGGCGGTGGCAGCAGGAAGGCTGGGCCCGCTGGCTGGGTCCGAGGAGAGCCGGCTTCTCTAGGCTGGAGGCCACCGAGGGAGGCTGCTTCCTCCGAGAGAGATGCTTAACGACGGGAAGCCGCTTTATTTGCTTGAGTTTTAGCCAGAGGGAGTGGTGAGCTGAGCAGCTGGTGCCATTGGATGTCACGGCCATGGCTTGCTCTGCGCCCTCTCTCCACGCAAGGTGCCCGTGAGCCAGTGCTCCTGGAAAAGAGGAGAAGGGCCGTCAGAACCCAGGGGACCAGCCATCCCTCCCCCCACGCTCAGAGAAGCACCCCCTCCAGCCTCCGGTCAGGCCCACCATGAGGCCCCAGAATGAAGGCAGCGTGGTGTGATCTCGACATGACTTTCATTCACGTCTCTGCGCAGGGCCAGCGCTGCCAGCTTTGTGTGAGGAAACGAAACTCGAGTGGCTTTTTGGAATACCACAATGAGCATGGCGCACCACGCCCTTGCCCAAGGACATAACAGCATCCTCTGCTACCCGCCCGGCCACTTCCACCGTCCATTTCACAGCATCCACTGGCAGGAGGTCTTTCGAATTGCCAAGGTCACCTCAAAGCCAGGCAAGGTCATCACGGGACCCTGGAGTTGCAGACCCCGCCCCTGTATTCCATGCAAAAGCCCTGGTGTTTGCTGCAGAGGAGGGAGGCCAAGAGAGTCCCTTCTTAGCACATGAAACATTACTGTGCACAGACTCCCCCTCAGAGGGTTCTCACAGAGGCAACTGAGCTGGAAGCAATGCCCCCTCTGTGGGTCTTGCCTGGCAAGGTGAGCCATTCATCTCTCCCCACATCAAACCACACGTAGCTCAGGACTGGAAGGCTATCCACCAGCCAGGTCCTGGGATCCCAGGGCAGAGCATCTGAACAGCATTGTTCACCAGGAAAGTCCGTTTCTGGGGAATGCCCACCCCAACTTTCACCACAGGCGTTAGGCTCTGCCTCATCGTCCCTACTGGCTTATTTCACTTGCCATAAGGCCCTTGGTTTAAAATATAACTTCCTAAGGACACCCAGTCACTCCCAATAAGCAGCCACATAGAAATCTGCCAACTCATCTAGGAAGTCCCTGAGGTCTGGGGCTGTATCGATTTTTCTCACATCTCTGTACCCAGCCCCCAGTTCAGCTCAATACACATTTGTCAAATGAATGACGGTCAAACAGCTCTCACGCCATGCCCCAAAACAGTATCCTTTTTTCCTGCCAGTGAGTGAGGGTGTCAGAAATGTGCATGGGTAACATTTGGCTGACGTGCGGTGGTGGCAGAGGACTCGTAAACATCGTTACAACTGCTGAGATTATTCCTAGAACAAAGAACAAATCATATCAGAGAGGTGATAGAATTTAGAACTTGAAGCGACCCCAGAGATAATATACTACAATTTCCTCATTTTACGGACAAAGAGTTGGAGGCCACAGAGAGACCTGGACACTTGCTCAGAGTGTCTGCAGCACGAATTCAGCACAAGTGCGAGGAGGTCCAAGTGCCCAGTGGGAGGACTAAGCACAAGTCTGTGCTGTGAAGCCTGCTCGCCGAAGCCGGGCTTTAATGGCACCGATAACACTGATCAACCAAAAGCAAGGTTTGGAAATCTGAATGTGCATGACAGGAAATGCCTGAGTTCCCCAAATCACATTAAATCACCAGATCTGTGCGCACTTAATATGTATATTAAGTAACCAAAGTGAAAATGCAAAACACCACAAGTATGCGCTGGGGTGGAATTACAGGGCATGGAAACCTTTCTCTTTGGCATGGTCAGACTGGAAACTGTGGTGTTTATTTCTGAATAAAGAGCTCACTTTGATTTCTTCCTTTCCTTCCTTCCTTCCTCCTCTCCTTCCTTCCTCCTCTCCTTCCTTCCTCCTCCCTTTCCTTCCTTCCTTCCTTCCTTCCTTCCTTCCTTCCTCCCTTCCTTCCTCCACCCCTTCCTTCCTTCCTTTCTTCCTTTCTTCCTTCCTTCCTTCCTTCCTTCCTTCCTTCCTTCCTTCCTTCCTTCCTTCCTTCCTTCCTTCCTTCCTTCCTTCCTTCCTTCCTTCCTTCCTTCCTTCCTTTCCTTCCTTCCTTCCTTCCTTCCCTCCTTCCTTCCTTCCTCCTCCCTCCTCCTTCCTTCCTTTTTTGAAAGAATGAGACAACAGCAAGAAGGGGCATAAAAACAAGAACACCAAAAGCCACCATCAAACAAGAGGCCACAGAGGGTCGGGCAGGAGCCTCGGGAAAGACAGCGGCCAGATGCACGCGTGGCTTCTCCCGGGACAGCTGCCTCTCACTGGGGCACAGGCTGACACTCCCAAGCTGTGGGAGGGGGCACTGGCCCCGCCTCTGGGCTGGGGACAGGAGTGATCAAACCTTAGAGTCCCAGGGAGCCTCCGGATCCTGCCTTTAAAAAGGAAAAGGGGAGACAAATGCTTGCCACTCCCTCCCCATGCCTGGGACGCACCGCCATTTCTAGTTGCTTGGAACACGGCAGCTGCTTCTTCAAGGAGGTGGCTTTCCCCCCTTTGATGTAATCATGACCCCAAAAGAGGATTCCTTCTCAAATAAGTTTCTTTCTGTTCAAATCACCTTTGGCCAAGGGCCACCGCGGACAGCACCGCCGCTTGGGGAACATCTCAAGGCTGCTGTAAGGGACCAGGAAGACGGATTATAGTGAGAGCCATTCTGGAGCCTTCACTACAGCATTTGCCATCCCAAACACTATAATAAGCACTATTATTCTCGCTATCTATTATTGTCTGGCAAATAATATGTGTTTTTCCCGAAGTTCTAAAGGGTGCAGCTGCACCACACTCTATTTTTCGCAGCCCCGCTCCTGCAGCCCCGAAAGCCCGCGCCGAGCTCATTGTAAGAGCCGGCAAAGCAGACGATCTATGTTTCCTTCCCTCTGGCCACATATTTGCCGTGTCTGGGACACACACAGGCCAGGTGGCAGCGCGAGTGCCTAGCTGCTGAGAGCATTTCGGGGGGGGGGGGGGGGGGGGGAAGCCATCCTCACTCACTCTTCGGGCTCGTGGTCAGAGGGGTGCGGACAGAGGAATGGACTCCGAACCAATGGAAATGAAGAACCACGCTGGGCTCCCCCTTCCTGGTAGGTACTGGTAGGCAGCTCAAGAGTAGGCAGCTCAACTCCAGGCCAAGCTGCTCCTTTGGCCAGGGGAGGAAGCAAGCCTGGAGTTTTAAAAAGTGACCATGTCAGGAAGTTCCAGAGCCTGAGGCGGTTCCAGTTTTGCCCTCGCCAAGTCCAAGGATCTTACGGAAGATCCGTCTTGTCTAAATTTCTTGATCGGAGCAAAGGGGGAAATCGCACAATAAGTGAGACAGAGACTCAATTACAGTCTGGTGTGACCCCTAGCTAGCCGTGTGACCCTAGCCCTGCTCCTTACCCTCCCAAGCCTTGATCCCTTCTCTGAAATGGGTGCCTGAGTGCGTTTTCTATTCCATCTCCCACCTCTCATATTCTCTGATCGTGGGATGTTTGTACCAAAGCCAGTACCAGCTACGGAGGATTATAAACTTGAGCAGTTGGATATTAATCTGTTATCAGTGTGTAAGGAAGACTATTCATTTCTGGACCCCAAAGTCCAAAGTTTCAGAAAGAGTCTCTACTGACCACCCCCCCCCACACACACACACACACTCACTCACACACTCACCTACCATACAGCTTCATCCCACCAACCTCCCCCCCCACACACACACTCACACACACACTCACCCCCCACCCCCCACCCCCACACACACTCACCTCTGGTAGAGATTTTTGGAGTGTCCCTCAATGCAAGAGGTTCTGTGGAAGTGGCTATATTTGTGCATTACATTTGGGTTCTCCTCTGCTTTGGGGGTTTGTCTGAAGGCAGGACAACCCAGGGCCCTGTTACATGGACTGTCACACACACACCTTCTATCCCACATACCATGTCTGTGCTGCGTATGAAGACCAGCTCCACACGGCATGGTCGCCAGTAGGCAGGTATGACCAGGTGCCTTCAGAACTCCAGGCCAAGCTTCCCCTTTGGCCAGAGGAGTGAAGTGTCCTCACAGAATCATCGCTGCACATCAAATGCACCGGGAGAGGCCCTGTCCGTCTGGGCCTCAGAGGAAAGCCCTGCCGAGAATGTGACTGACTTACTCATCCTCCTTTATCACATACCAGTCTTCGGAGAATTATCGAGAATGCAATTGTGACTGAGTACTAATAAATTCTTTCCATTGACACTGTCAAAATATGGCCATTCTTTCCTTTTCTTCTTTGGCCTTTACAGCCTAAGGCTTAAGCTGGTTGCATTTACAAGGAAAATTTATGATTTCCAAGCAACCACTCACCAAAATAAACGTGTGTCCAGAGAAAAACGCCTGTCTTATTCTACACCCCCACACCCCGTTGCTCAGTGGTGCTGGAGCCCACCTCCCCAGGAGGCCTGCTTTGATTAATCTAATCCATTTTCCAAACTTTTATTCATCTTTCCTTCCAAAAATACCTTTGTAATTAGCCTAATCAAAATCCAGTATGTCTGTCCTGACTTACCTGTTTAAAAGACAAGCTCCACGTGTCTGTCATATTTATTCCCAGGAGCCCCAAACCCTGTGGCACCAACTCTAGGATGTGCAAGGAATGCCTGTTGCCAAGCTGGCTTGCCTTTGCCCAATTACCCAGGCCCTACCAGTGACGCCACTCACTCAGGCACGGCGACCCATCACTTATCACAGTTAAATACAGCCATTAACTGCTGGCTTCGGCCACCCTGTTTATCTGGGACAATAACGAGTCCCTGAGGACTGGACCGCTCTCAGGTAGCGGCAGCTATTCTGGGACACTCACAAGCTCGATGAACAGAGCCACCTGCACCAGCTGATAAGCCCGGGTGTGATGCCAAATGGTGGTCTCCCAACCAGGCCCACTCCAGAAAGAGCTATGGCTTGGCAAGGTTTTCCCAAAAAAGGGTTCTCTCTCTCTCTCTCCATCAACCATTGCTTCCCAAAGTGCTTCGAAATGGCTTTTACCAAAATGGAAGCATTTCCAGTAATGAAATGAGTGGCATCTCTTTTCTTACAGTTCAGTAATTGATGAAAGTCATTAAAAAATCCCTTCTCCTACCAGTGTGATTGTTATGGGAAATAACCCGAGGGGAGGCAGGGGTGGGGGCCCAGGGTCAGCTGCCCCTTGGCTCAGTGCTGGCTCTGATCCGAATCACACCTTCCT